GTCAATTTTACGCCCTCTCTTTGACTCTTTTAGTAAGTTTAGCCCACAGTTAGCCAGTCCGATCTAGTCCAAGAACACCAAAGATGTCGGCGGCGTTATTGAACAGATCAGAAAAGGTTTATCTATCTCATTCAGTAAGCGAGCAAGCTAAACTGTACAAATGACTATGGGACAATCCCTCTTCCCTATTCAAAACTCGAGAACTGGGCGAAGTCGGGTAAAACTGTCTGCTCCATATTTGTCTCTACTCTGTTAGTTACAACACAAGTATGCCAAGTAACAGAAAGGATTTGTCCTCTGACAAGAAAGTTGTGGCATTTTGGAGAAATGAAGACATTATCACCAGGAATGTTTGCAGGTCAAGATATCACGTGATTTACACATTTCTCGTCCTACCCTAGCCAGGTTGATTGAGCCAGTGAAAAAAGTCTGGCAGAATTTGTCGCATGGCACTCGAAGCTCTCAGAAAAGGATGAAGAAGAAACTGAGGTGAAAGGCTGGATGATCTCGGTTCATGAGCACAGCCAAACAATTACAGGCCCGCTTCTGAAGAAAAAGGCCGAAGAATTCGTGGAAGGAGATTTGAAAAGTCTGTGCTGTCACAGAAGGACGGTTGCGAAGATGGAAGAATAGAACTCAACTTGTGTATAAACGTTCCGTTGGCTGAAAAATCGACTGCCTGAATTTTTAAATACTTTTTTATGATGAGAACGTGTACAACGCAGATGAAACAGGTCTTTTCTACCGAGCCAACTCCAGAATGCTCTTTGTGTTTTGCTATCTACAAGCCCAGCAGATCGAAAAAGTCATGGATTGGATCACTTTTTCTGTGCTGCGCAAATATGTCTGGCCACGGATAAAGTAAAATTATAGTTATTGATTTAAAAACTAAGGAAACCACGATGTTTTAATGGCTTGAACGTAGTCACATTTCCCGTAACTTGCAGATCTAATAAAAATGTGTGCATGTCGAAAGAATTTTTCACCGAGTGCGTCCCTCGAAGTGGGACAGGAGCTAGGCCAATGTGGCCGAATAGTTATGTTGCTCTTAGATAGTTGCACAGCCGCATCCACAGGTAGTAGGACTGAGAGACATTCAAATGGAATTTTTGCAGGCAAACACGGTTCGGCCATTCTTCCAACCCATGGATCAAAGTTTGATTATGAGTCTAGAGAACCCGTACAGAAAGGAAATGGTGGACAGAATTCCTTAGCACATCGAAAACAACGTCTTTTCTGGCTCATCATCGGCGCTAGATGTTAACGCCAAGATTTCTCTGCGCAATGCAATTATGTTCGTTTCGAAAAGTTGGAGACGGGTTACCTGGTGCAACAATAAAAGCGTGCTTTCGCATGCTGGCTTCAGTCGACTAGAATCCGATGCACTTCTAATGACGCCGTCATTGCTGAAGACGAGATCAACGCTTGCACAATCCAGTCATGAATGAGGAGGAGAAGTTCGTCGCCATTGACATTGAATGTACCTCAGATCGGACAACTGCTGACGATGAAATAGTCAGCAACATTTTAGAGAAACCGAATAGAACAGAAAGAAGACAGTGACTCAGAGGATGACGTACCCGAAGCCTCCGTTAGTAACAGCAGTCAGCGTTTGTCGCATACGAAAGAAAAAACTGTGTAAATGATCTTTATAGCTACGGACTTTTTCATGGGCAAGGCAACGATTTCTTATCCCAATTAGACCTTTATCAGAACAAAAGTGACTGGGGGTATCTGCACGAAATAATGTACAACTGACGTTGGATTGTCTCTCAGCAAAAAATACCACAGCGCCAGTTTCTACAGCTACCCACAGTAAGATGCTTTATGTTATAACTTTTAAATTACAAGTTATTCACTTCTGAATAAAACGTCTTTTGTAGGCTTCTATAGGAAGTACATATTCTATATTTCTCAGCACGTTACAATTCCAAGTGATATACTGTACCATAATTAAATGGTTGTTTACTTTTTGGGAAAAATGGTTTATATCGGTTAATTGTCCACTCCGCTTTATCGCCCACTTTGGAAATATCCCCATGGTGGCAATAAAGCGAGTTTGACTGTATATCGAATTTGTTTTTTTATTTTTTCCTTTGCTTTTCTGTCTGAGTTGCATGGCTTCCTTATGCTTCTTTTTTATTGTTAGTTATCAGTATTCATATGACGATTCGAATAATGGTGACTAAATCTGTCTTCTTCGTGTTCAGAAGCTTATCATCAAATGAATTCTGTTAAAGGGTTGGCCAGTCCTCTTGATCCTTCTACTAGTAGTCAACATTTATGTTCTCATTGCCTTTATTTTTGAAACAAATGTTTTCATCCCCGGGGAATAAGCTCTATATTACTCTAAGTTGCCGTTATTTCGTGTTCTAGTGTAATGTGACACCGTAGTAACAACACTTTACTGACGGCTCCGCCCATACGGCGGTATTTATTCGTTTTCTTCCTATTCCACCTCATGCTGAACTTTGATTCATCCCACACCTTCCTATGTTAACCATCTCATTGTAGATTGATCGGCACGGAATAAATTAAATTTCGTACCCTGTCGTTCACGCTCTACTCTGTTCAAATATCGCGGAAATGGATTTAGTTGCCTCGTTGGTTTGACACCGCAATCATGTTTCCCCCCTCTCCCGATCTGTTCATTATAGCGTGGTCCTCGCGCGAAGCGGGATAGCTAGAATCACGAACTCTTCCAGTAAACCCAGCTGAGGAATCTCTTCTGCCATTGCTCATCTACTTGGCACACCATCCTGCTTTCATTCGACATGTGCCAGCGCTCGTCACACGCAACAACAGCTTCTCCTCATTTCAACTCCTTTTATGTTAGATCACTTTCCTTACAGTCGGATGATATTCCACGTGCGCAACTTTCTTCATCTCACTTTACATATTGGTTATATCATGGTCTCTATCCACCCCCACCCCCCCAACACACCCTGTTCACGTCGATTGAGACGTTGGAAATGTTGCGCTTCGTTCTTTTCCAAACTATTCTTTTATACTCCTTCCGTATTCATTTCTTTCGCTGAACACCCTTTCGAGGCGTGTCTAGGATTCCATGTTTCATCTCACTTCCATTGCTTCAGGCCAATGTGGCTGTTTCTCCCTACCTAACGTAATAATGGTTGCTTTCAGTATGCCTGATCGCCATCGTGGTCATTTTACCGGCGTTTGCGAACAGTTTGCTCAGTTCGCACATCTGTATAAACTGCATTTACCACGTCTTGCCTGTTCTGGGCTTGGTAACATAATCACCTCTCCCTGTATCTTTATCTTATTTGTTTTTAAACTGTTTGGCCGGTGGCCTTTGAGCACGCCCTCACTTCGCCAATTTTGGTCGCTAAAACAGACCCAAATACACCCCACTACTTTCTCGATATACGAGTCACTTTTTCCACGAATCGGTATCGCAAAAATACCCGCGGTGCACTGATGCCCTTCACTCATGTTCTGTTACCACTCAGCTACCAGTGGCTGCGTCCAACAGCAGTACATTTTCAACGGTTACGCAATCGCTGCGAATGCACAGACCGATGGTGTCATGAAAAAGCAACAACAGTGAAGAGCCAAAATGAAACCCGTGCTTATAACCACGTGGGTCGACAAATACACGTGACAGAATAGGTCCGCGATAATAAAACGCGTAAAGCAAAAATGCTGTTCTTGTGCAGTGAATGAACACGGTTCGTTAGGAGCTTGAGTGATAACGGTCCACAAGGCACACAGTAACAATCGAATCGACGAGGGACTCTAGACAAACCGCTGCATCTAGAAATATGCCTTATTGATCGTGCCAGCAAAGTGTAATCTCTATGAGGTATTCCAAGGAAGACGACAAAAGTCAGTCCGGGAGAATGAATGGATTCAGAAATTTGACTATAAAACTACAAGTGATTATCTGGTCCCTGTTTATCGGCCTGTAAAGGACGCGACGATGATCAGTTTTTCAACACGTTTGATCATGCGACACTGCGCATGCGCACTGTTCTCAGAGCAGAGTTTTCCATTCCAGCTGATGAACTCTGAGCAGCTTTTAGTTTTTTTTCCGATCAGCTTATGATCGTTGTCTTTACATGGTTTCACCATCATGTTCGTGCATCATATTGAAATCATAAGAAGATATTCGTCTTTGCGAAGCTTTTCACTAGCGTGCGTAGACCAAGAGAGGTTCTGGACCAGAGGGACACCGCGGTAGTGGACGGCGGATGACAGATATGGTATTGTCGCTGGCAGCCTGGTGGTTATTTATGGTAGACTCAAAGGTGTCCGTACGAAAAGAATATGGCATCGTTACGGTTGGAAGCGTAATAGGCCTGGATGAAGACATCACAAAAATTTTAATCCACATTGTGACATCGGAAAAACCTGAGCAGTGAGAGTATTACACCGTCGCGCGGCGTCTCCATCATATTTACATCCAATAAATGTAGGCGGTATAAGTGGATTTTCGGCACATAAAAAATAAAATCGCTCTGCGAGCAATCACAGTCAGCAAGAAGTACAGACTGGTTCGCACTGTTCACTTGAATGAATTGAGCACGATCAGCAAAATATTCGCACGACACGTCACATATGTCTAAGCGAACTGTACTCTCAAGTACGCTGTGGAGTTTTCTCATCTCAAAACGTGCTCCTTCATCCTCGGCTGATATTACGGGCCACGACTGTCGTACACGAAACTGAATTAGTTTCATCGATACTTGTTCGTGCCTCGAGGTGTATCAGCCGTCGCGTAAATGGGTTGTTTTTCCATCATTTCACGTCGGCCCAATGAACATTGTGTTCTTGCGCGTGTCATACTGCTTTCTGGCACCTGATGTGTTCTTTGTATTTCATGCAACATCCATCGTCTGCTGCACTAACTAAAACACACCCACTCTTACTTTTTACATTCATCTACCGTCCTACCACTATACCTTTTCTCAATTCGTTTTATCGTTCACCAATGTTTGCATCGGTCACGCTTGAGATGCATCGCCTGCGACATCTGACACGTTGCACGTGTGCACTCGTATGAGCCATACTCATGGTGGCAAGGGATCACGTGATCTCACGTCGCGAACACAGTCCACGTGTATGGCGCTTACAGGGGCACATGTGCAACGTGTGTCACATAACGCACGCAATGCAGCTTCAAGCGTGACCGATGCAAACATTTGGGGAACGATGCAACGGATTGAGAAAAGGTATAGAATTGATCGACCAGTTACTCGCCATCATCTTCCCATCTGGAGGACGTATTTACTTGCCGATATTTCTCTTTCCGGGTTTCACTTTTACTAGTGAGGAATACACCTTGATTCTCATTTGAGCACCGACTCTTGGCTCTAGCTCTACTTAGAGTCAAATACATTTTTGACTAGTCGGATTTTGTGACACAGGATCTTTGTCGACCAGCGGCGCCCAGCAAGTTGCTTTGCATTTAGCGTAACTAATTTTGTCGAACGTCCCTTACGCCATGTTATGGAGTTTATTGAGGTTCGAATTCCTTATTAACTGTAGATTTATCTATGCCTGACGTCCTGGGATCCATATCACCGGAACCCAAGCTAACTCTTTCCCATTTTTACCAACGAGTCTCACATATGGCAGAGGACTTTCACATATGTACCCTTCTTATCGGACAACCGGTTCGCGCGCACCTCACTCGGGCGGCTTTGACCTCCGTTCAACCCTTTTACACTCCTAGGTGCATTCCACGGCCTCCGATTCTGGCACGTGGGCTTTAGTCTTGAAAATGTGCGTCATTCGTTCCACCTGAGTTGACCGATCCGCCTCCTAATCATTTCTCTTACCTCATCCCAATTGGTTGGCTTACGTGACATGTCACCACTTCACCAACCCACGAAATGTTGACTGACTAGTGGTCATTTACCCGGCTTTGGTTACACTAGCCATCGAGAGCTAAACCTCTTAAGTTTGACTCAGCTCACTCCTTGTGATACTTGTACTAGCACTGTCGAATCTTACAGATTAAGTAACCCCTAGTTTGCGGCTCGAATCGGTTTCACGTTTCTATGCGCACTCCAGTGAACATAAAAGTATGTCTCCAATGTAGGCGTGTAACCAAGTTTAGGTATCAGAAGGCGAGTGGACTAGTGACGAACGGGTGCGAACAAAGGTGGAGGCACACGGGGCTGACGCGCCTGGCTCCGTACCACCGTTGTTCTTTACCACGTTACCCATTACAATACGTGCTCACTTCTGACTACTTGTCTCTTGATAGTAGTCTACTAGACACCGTAGTCGAAAAGTCAACTGGACCTTGTACACGCGTTGGTTTATTTTCGAGGGTCACAACGAGCGCCCACATTGCCAGAATGCCCAACGGAATAATTGCGTAACACGGACAATAAAGCTCACGCTTAACAGGTCCCGTAGGATGTCAGGATTAAAATAGCATAACCAATAAATTTGGGTTCGCGCTGATCCACTCAGAGGTTCGTAATGACAATTCGAAATATATCTGTCTCGAGGTTGTGGATTCATCGTCTGTTTTCGCTATGTTACCTCGCGGACACGTCATATAGGGAGTTTAGATGGCGCAGTGCGTCGTCAACTACTTCTATGATATCATTAAATTGAGCTGGAAACAATTTACGAGGTGGCTGTCAACGACTCGCACTCCCGAGAGGAGGTGAATTTTCGACGGCATTCCAGCCGTCTATACTGCATGTGCAACTTTAAATTGCTTACTGTTGGTTTGGTGCTATGACGGATTTTCAAGAGGGGCGGCAAACGTGCTAAGGGGTTCTGCGGGATTTGCTAGGTCATTATGAACTCCCACCGCGGACCCCAATGCCGACTACTGCTTACTTCAATCTAGGTTGGTAGGCAAGATTAAAGAGTAAGTTCTTAGATGCTCTTCGTTGTGGACTTTCGAGCGCAGTAAGCTGGTGTTTCTGTCATGGATGCCACGCCTGGGCAGCTTATTCCACCTGCAGTCGGTAAGCACTTTAGAGAACATAGAAGCGAAAAATCGACCAAACCCCCTGCGCACGATGCTAGTTTTGGCATCTTTTCCAGATATTTCTACCAACCTTGTTCATTCCAGCCAATATTATGAACTCACGCTTCTTGTATTCAAATTTATGCACCACCTCTGGCTGATAACGTATATGCGTCACCATACATTTAGCTGCCTTAAACTGCAGCAGTGTTCACGTGGCCCATTTATGGACACAATCCAAAACACCATGTAATAAATGGTTATCATCATCGCAGCCATTAGTCACTTGTCATACATTGACATTGCTGAACATCAGGAATAAATGTGGTCCCAACACAACCATGTGGAACATCGCATCTGAAAGTTGTCCACCGACACGCACTGCGACTTAAGTTGTTGATCCACCAGTGGTCGAGGTTCCTGATTCCGGAGCCTGTGATTGGGGTTGCGATGATCCAAGCGTTCGAAAGTTGAGCACGGTCGACTCCGACCAGGCAACCCACTGTAGTCGGGTTACTCAACATCAAAAGTACCTTCGATTCGGTGAATTGATATGGTTCTTAGGACTCTCTGCTCAAGAGTGGTGCTTGATATATACGTACATGTCACAAGATCGCTGCACGTGCGCAGTACTTCCAGTCAGGGCTTATGACAAAATCTCGCTGCCCTTCCGGATCTCAAGTAGTGTGGGACAAGGCTGCTTGATGTCACTCTTTACTTTTAGCTTCGTTATCGACGAAGTCACAGAATTTGGGTTCTCTTGACATGACATAAATTGTGGAACTGCTTTCAGGTGAACGAATTCTTGACTTCTGGTACACCGACAACATTGCCCTAATCTGAGAGTTTACAAACATGGCAAACAGCACTGAACAAATTGGCTCTGGCTGTCAATCTTTCCGGGCTTTGCCTTGCACTTTCGAAATGCGAAGTGCTTCTCCAGCATTGACAGGGACCCACTATTGCACTAACCGTAAGTCGTGGTCAGCTAGAAGTCGAGATAAGCGTAGATAAAGTCTTAACCACGACAAACTTGATCAACAAAGCGTTGAAAAGTCTGTGCGACATTCCTTAGACAGAACAGCATGCGCAGAAACTCAAACAAACCAAATGGAGTCGTCACATCAGTTTTAGCGATGTCCGCTTCGGCTACCAGGATTTGGTCGTATGCGCGTGCCAAGTTCATATTGCTAAAAACATTTTTGCCTGCAAGACTGGCAGTGAGATTCACGATGTATGGGCTCGGATAGCGATTGGGCATGGTAACCATATGCAAGATTCGATAATCACCACAAGGGTGCCAATCCCCCATGACCTTCGGGACCATGTGGAGTAGTGACGCCCATGAGCTGTTGGGTGGTCTGACGATGCCGAGCTGAAGCATGTGGCCGAATCCAGCTCCTGCTGCACGTAGTTTGTCAGGAGCA